AGAATGTCAAAACTTAAAACATCTGGCATGTAAATGTTGGTGAAGATATGGAGAACTGGAACCTCCATGTGCTGTAGGTGTGAATGTAAAATTGCCCAGCCACGTTGGAAATGGTTTTGGCAGTTTCTTACAAATTTAAACATACACCTGATTAGGTAGTTCACTCTCCCTGGAATATTGGGTATTTATTCAAGAGATATAAAATCCAGCCAGCCAGCCAAAGACATATACAAATGTTCATGGCAGCCTTATTTGCAAGAGCCCAAACTGGCAACAGCCCAAATGTCCATAAGTGAATCTAATTATAACCACACTGAGCGAACGAATCTGGTCAAAAATAGAGCAATGCTGCATGATTCCATTTATGTGAAATTCTAGAAAATGCAATGTAATGCATTGTACTAGAAAGCAGATCAGTGATTGTAAGGTATCGTTTGGTAGGCATAAAGAGGGAAGAGGGTGAGATTGAAAAGGGGCACAAGAATTCTCTTGGAGGTGAGGGATATATTTATTGTGATTATGGTAAGGATTACCTGGGTGAACACATATGCCAAAACAAATGTTAAAGCTCACCAAATTATGTACAGTGGTTCCTGGAATAAAATTGTTTCATAACTGGTGCCACTATGTGGAGTTTGCACATTCTCTCCATGTCTGCGTGGGTTTTCTCTGGGTCCTCGGGTTTCCTCGCATATCTCAAAGATATGCACAAGTTGAATTGGAGTGGTCCTAGGTAAGTTCCCAGGACCACCATCCACCTACTTGTTCAACGTGCTGCTGCACACTTGCACGCCCCAGGCTGTCAGACTCCCTGATGCAGTAATCTAACTTTCAGGATTCTCCTCTGGCATATCCTCCTGTTCAGAGTCCCATCTCTGGTTTACTAACTTATGTTTCTCACTCAGCTCTTGACTCCATCAATTCTTACATCGTTTGAAACTTAAGTAAAAAAATATTCCCTTCACCTGGACAAGTTGAGCTATGTACTCAGCACCTCCATGAAGAAAGCAGAATCTAGACAAAACAAGAAAGGCACATTTGACAGCTTAGAGACACACAACTTAGGTCTTAAATAAGCTTTTTTTTTCTAGATGAATAGATCCTTTACACTGTTTTATAAGTACAAGTTGCTTATTACCTCAAGGTTATGAAGCCAAAAATTTACAGGTTAAGATGCCTTAGACAAACTGAAGAATGACCTGCAAATATCACTTGGGTGTTTAAGGGGAAGCACATCTTCGTGATGTAAGAAGAATTGTGGAGGAGAACTTCATGCTCTGACCAAATGGACCTCCACTGGAGCAGGACACTTGTCCAATTGGATTATGGGTCTGGTTCAGGAAAGTGATTAAAGAAGTAAGATTTGGGATGAAAACATGGAACACCGAGTTTTTTATGTCAAATGAATCATATTAAAATTATTTTTATTAGCATCCCTTAGAAAAACCACAGCATACCTTCAAATAGAAATTGCATACGTACAAGCCCTTAAAAAATCTCCTAGCATAATACTTTACAGGGGAGAGACTAAAAATATGGGTGAATAGGTTAAATGACTGCACAGAGTTGACTTCCAAGATTTGAGAGATGTATGAGTTTTTATAGAGGTCTCATTTGAAATAATGAAATTAATGTTGAGCCCTTAAAAAAATCAAACATGGCATGACTGAAAACTATGACACTTATGTTGAGCAGTGATCTAGATGTCTTTAGTCTCATGGATTTCACTGACTTCCCCAAGGAGAAAGTATTTCTTAAAAATGATAGCATACAATCACTGTACCAAAATTCTATCAGAGTCTACTGCTGCAAAGAGTGAAGAAAACAGGTTCCCAGATTCCCACTTTATAGCTTTTGACACGTGTTTTTTTGACACAACATCTGTGTGTGGGGTTTGTTTGTTTTACCTCACTTTGCTCCAGAAACAAATTAAAGCAACTTATAAAATCACATAAATTCAGACTCCAAGTAAAATAAGCAAGAAATAAGGGTGGGGACAAAAAATATAGCCAAGAATTATGTCAAAAAATGCACATCACAAAGACTTATGCACTAAATATGGGTGGGGGATGCATTCGGCTCTAAGTTTCCTCCAGTCAACAGGGAAAGAGAAACCTGGTTACAATGTCAAAAAATAAATACAGTTGCTTAGGAAAAATAGCCACAACTTTTCATACTCGACACAGCAGTCAGAGGTTTTCTCCAGGGCTGTTATTTTTTAAGATACAGTTTAGTAAGCAATGTCTAGCAACACTCTTACTGTGTACTCTATGGGGTTTCATGGCTGATTCTGATAACAGACGTCTTATAATAGGTGTTATACCAAGTGCACTATGCTAAAGCATTATTTAATAAAATATTTTAACGTGGGTCAGTACTGTTTTCAGGAACTGTGAAGGATCTGAGATTTTTACCCTGTGCAAGCTAACACACAGTTCATAGAGGCTGGCAGGAGACCCAAAACACCTGGGTCAAAGACAAGAGAAAAGACAATTTATTACAGCAATTGCAGTCGCCTGAATATCAGCATTTGCACTAGTTCAAGGAGCCCCAGTTCTCACAGGACAACACAAAGAGGTACAGGTGATACTTACACGTGCCGTGGGTTATTTTACAGAAAAGGAATGACAAGCTTAGAGAACTGAAATCTTTTATCAAGGGAAGTGATCATGTGTTCCCATTGCCCTAGAGAGAAATATTACCTTTATTATATTGGATAGAACACACATTTCTATCTTCCAAGGATATTTTATATGCAAATATTCTTTACAAGATGGTCTGGAACACAGGGAATTACTGCCTCTGCTCATAAGATGAGTAGAAACATTAGTGACCTTTGAAAAACTGTCTCCCAACAACTGTACATTGTAGGTCATACTCAAGTGTTCTTTGGTATAATCTAAACTAACCCTTTGTGTGCAGAAATTGGTGAGTTCTGTTTCATTTGACACTTACTCATCGTATACTTATTGCAATCTTATAGTCTAGGCACTAAAGAGAGTAGTAAAAAGAGGCATGGTTCCTTTCTGCTGCGTTACTCCTCCCTAGTCTGAGAAGAGCCCTAATACTTTCGACGTCTTCACTGAATACTCAAGCGTCCTACTAGCTAAAATAATGCAACCATTTTTTTTTCTGACACAATAATTAGAGATTGTGCTTTGTTTAATTAGCCTCCAGTCAGTTGCAAAACTGAAAATAACGATTGCTAAGGTGGATTTGACTTTGCCTGCCGGCCAAGCAGAGGCCAATTCCTGAATTTTATCACCTAACTCTTACACCAGCCCCTCGTAAACGTTTGGAAGAACCAGCCTTCTTTTCAATATTTCTGCTGGGTTTGTTCCCCTCAGAAAACCTGTCATTTCCTACTAACACAGTGGCCTCACTGGCTTAACATGATGGCACTGGCATATAGGAACAGAAAGAGCGGTGCCAGCTGGATAAATGTCCTAACCTGGGTTGGAGGGAGCTGCCTATTCAAGTAAAAAATCAAAGATGAAAAAGACCTGTTAAATAAGCCCGTCCCTCCTCTATTCAGTGCCAAGGCATTCCTATGGTGAGAGCTCAGACCCAGCCAGCTCTAAATGACTTTAACAAGGTGCCTTCTCACGCTTTATTTGGAAGATGGGGCTGTCCCTTTGATGTTTCTTTTTTTTCTTTTGTAAGTTTTCTAACTAGAATTTCATTTGACCGGTGTTATTTAATTTTCCTCTTACTGTTTTTGATTCAGCTACAGCACCCCAGTGAGGTAAGCTATTTTTAAAGCGTCAGTATAAATAAAGTACCTGATTGGCCCAGCCACTCCACCCTCATGGCTACATATTTTGGGCAATGTAATGTAGGGGGAAAGGACACACATGTGGACTTCAGAGGTAAACGTACCCAGTTTGGAATTATGGTTCTACTGAACTGGGGCTTATCATTGTCATTATTCCTGTTTTCAGTGACTGCCATTTAGTAAATGCTTCCTGTGTGTCAGGCATTATGGCAACCACTTTCAAAACACTGCTGCAAATTTGTGAAATTGGTACTGTCATCGTTATTTTAGAATTTAAAATTTAGTAATTAGGAGTGGAAGCACTAGAGTGAACTGGACAGCTTAAAATGCCAACACTGCGACCCTGGGCTTTCTCTTGACCTCTCTGTGGTCACTTTCTTTATCTGTAAGATGAGGATGATGGCAATGCCTGCCTCATAAACTGTTTTGAGGAATAAATGTCTTAACATGTATAAATTGATTCAATCAGAGTAAGCATTTAAATGTCATCAATACTGATAATATAGAGATAAAGTTTGCTTAAGGGCATTTCATTAGTAAGTGGCATCGTTAACCAGTAGAATATACCAGCATTGTCAGGATGCTTAACCTTTGTGCCTCAGTTTTTCTTAATGGTAAAATGGGGTTAATACCATATCTCTTGCAGAGGCACTATGAAGATTAAAATACAACGAAGTACATTAAAACTCTATTACAGGACTCAGTACATAGTTGAGGCTCAAATAGCAATATTGCTCTATATCTCTGCATCTACATCTGTAGAATATATGTGTATACGTGTACGTATTATACATAATGTATAGCTTTGTAGCCAAAGACTTACTCTTAAATGTTTTTCAAACACAGGAACTACAGAATGGCTCAAAGTATATTTTTATGAATTTACTCCCATTTAAAAGACTTGGGTTGGTTTACTGGATATTTAAAAGCAGTTTCCTTCTTAATAAAGTTTTATTTTATATTTTTAACATTTTAATAATTTTTAATATGTCATTTCTGGATTCTGTAAAATAGTTCATCAAATGTTTCAAAACTGCCTAAATGCTTCTTTCATAAATACAGATCTGCCAGAATTTCGATTTTTATATCACAGAGGGAAAAGACAGTTATAACTTAGCAGAAAGAAAGAAATGTGATGATATGTTTTTGCTGTTGTGCTTTTTTTTTTTTTTTTTTTTTTGGTGTGTGTGGGAAAGGGTGTGATGTCATCTTGTCTCCACCCCCTGTGAGTAAGCCCACGGCACAGCTAAGTGCAGCCGCCCGCCTCTGTCACTGGGAGACAGTCCACTTAAATGCAGCTCCAGGGTTGCGAGGCACCCACCAGCATCATTCCCCGTGCGAGGTGGCAAATGCAACATGCTCTCCAGCTTGGGCTGTCTACTTCTCTGTGGAAGTATTACACTAGTCCTGGGAAATGCACAGAAATTGCCAAAAGGCAAGTAGCCTGATGTTTTATGTTTTAAAAATAATATTAAGATATAGTCATTTTTAAATGTTGATTTTAAATATGATCTGCCTTACCAAACGGGGGGAATAGAGTTATTCTGCAGACAGTCAAAGCTCAAATGTGTGAAGGGGTCACTTAAACTTTTACTTTCCCTTCCTGTTACTTACTTTTCAATTACAGCTCTTGATTGCAAAAATGAAAACCAACTTATTACATTGAGCAGCTGTTCATCAGAGCTTGAACTGTATACTTTCAAACTATAGTAATTGTGTATTGAAGCATGTTATGTAAAGGGATATTTTAAGTCTGTTAAAAAGAGTCGTTTGATGTTTTTATCCTCCTCCCCAGAGACTAAATCAGTACTAGCTTAAGATTCAAAAGAAGCTAATTCTGAAACCTTGACTCTTTGGTGTGAACCTCAAACATACCTGTTGACTAGAAGGCTGAGGGAGTGCACACATCCAAAGGATGGTTGTGTGCTGCTTTGCAGACACATCCTTCCAGAGGAGTTTGGAAGAGAGCTTGATCTGTTCGACAGGACACTCCCCCTTTTCCTGGCTAAATTGCTCTCATTTTAGTGTTGGTATTTTATTTACAAATGTTATCAGAAGAAAATTAAAATTTCTAAAGTTAGACCCTAAAAACAACCCTTCAAGCCCATCAGAATCAAAACAAGAGGCTCCTACCTCTCTCCTGTCTCTGAACACAAATGTTGTATGTATTTTTGTTCCTCTGCAGAGGCACTTTTCTAAGCCAAGTCAAGGTCTGTGAAGGCTTTTTATGGTTGCAGACTGCTGTAGTCAGCAGGATTATGAAAAACAGGCTGGAATTTACCGTACGGTCATGATGGAAACATCAGAGGTATTGTCGAGCTGCAGGCTTGTAAAGAACCTAGTGTGTCTAAAGTCAGAAAGGAAGGTTGTTGGTGTCAGAATAGCCAAAGGATCATCCCTGGGTCCTCTCTCTGGGTAGTTTGCTCCAGGATTATCTTGTCCCAAGTAAAAACTGTTCTTTCCTTGGTGGGTAAAGTGAAACTTGAATCCAGCCTGTGAAGGCTGAAGCAGTTGGCTAGTTGATATTTCACATGATGATGTGAACAGCAATAGAAAAGACTAAGTAAACCTCCTTAACTCTGATCGAACAATTAAAGAAAAATAAAAAACAAACACTCTTAGATCTTTTTCTACCAAGAGTTTTGCTCCTTGATCACAATAAAACTGTGATTTAAAGAAATCAATTATGAGCCACAAGCATTCAGAGCTCGTTGTTCTTACTAACGGAGTATTAACAGCGGCATACCATTGGAGTAGAATCTGGGGTTTCTCCAGCTTAATACCTACAGATGGCTTTTATTTTACTTTTGATTTTTTGTACAGTTTGATTTAGCCGTAACTTTGTTACTGCAAACTTCTGCAAAATCCCAGTGTTTTAATTAGTATGTTGCAATCACTAGACACAAATCTCTTGACAACAATTTTTCTTTATTTATAATGGCAAAGAAAAAAAACGTAGCTGTCAAAAATGGCCACAAAGCTTTTGTTGTTTATTGCACTCTAATCTGAAGTGTTTTCATTCAGATTCCTTATGTAAATTTTAAAAATATTTGTAGTTTTTGGTAATTTGGAGAAAAAAAACATTAAATTATAATAATTATAAAAGAAATGGCAAGTTTTGTTTTTAATGCTATGTTTTTTCTTTATTGTGAAAGCTGTTGAGGACCGTCACTTTTTTCAAACTGCTCAGCACATAGTTGCACTGTCTGTCCTACAATGGGTAGAGTTTGGGGTGAGAGCAGCTGATTCCTGTCAATTACTTGGGGAGTCTTTTTGGTGGGATCACAATAAGTGTTAGCAGTTTGCATATTCTCATTAAAAAAAAATAAACCCGTCCAACTTTTCAAAGCCATTGTTTCTCAAACTCATTTCACTAAGAATCTCCTTTTCCATAGAAGATCTGTAATATCTTAGCAGGGGTCTGTCTGTCACAGGACACATTAGGGAAATCCTGAGTTTAAAAATATAAAAAAAAAAGAAAAAATGAGTCAAAGTTTTTACCTTTATTCTTCCTTCTACTTCAGAGTTGGTTAACTGCTATTTGTGATTTAAGAAGTGGTTAGAATTTTGGAGCTAGAAAAGACATTCATGATCACTTAGTCTAGTGATTCCCAGACCTTTGGATTTATGGACCAACACAAATACACAAATACTTTAATATCAGGGTTCTATTACAGAAGGCATACTTGAATTTTTCTATGTGAGGATGCTCAAAGGAAACAGGGGAGAATGCCCAGTGTTTATAAAAGTAAACCATTTTAACAGATTTATAAAATAAATAAATTTACCTTCATAAGTAAGTCTATTATTATTTTTCTCATTTTCCACAGACTAATGAAAAATCTATCACAGGCCAGTATTTGGAAACCACTGACCTAACATAACCATTTATTTTTCAAATGCAGATACCCCAGTGCATGGCAGATTTAGTCACTTTCCCATGTTAATGTGGAGCCAGGAATTGAAACCTCACTTCTCATTCAAAATCCATGTTCTAACCTGCTTCTTGCCAGATAGGCAGGCTGCCCTGACCCCAACCTTAGGAATGACATCCTGCAGTGTACATGTGAATGCTACCACCCACATTTTTATGTATGTATGATATACATACATATATGGTTATTTATATGAAGTCAGTTGTTACATGTAGTATACCTATTTGCATACCTAGCCACATACTTTGTTATAAAAGTAAGTTATTAGAAGATTCTTGCTTACTTTTTAAAAGCTTGGAGACTATTACTAATAGACATTTTCTCTTCCCCACCACTTAGAAAACTTAGCCTCAGTTTTCTCGTTTGTAACATGGGACTAATGATAACTATCTCAGAGTGTTTCAGGATTAAATGAGATAAGAGATGCAAAACCTTTAGCAATAAGTCGGAGGCATAACAGATTTTCAATAAGTCCTTATTAGGTCATAGAAAAGGGGATCAACATTGAAAAATATACACACCAAATACCACATGATCTTGTATTCAAAATGTAAGACAAATCTCTTGTGAGGTAGGACGTGAGGTGGTGTGATCTTGGCAGAAAGATGGGATGAAGGACTGCAGCACTGTTCTACATGGCAACAAGGGAAGGCTTCTATGGCATTCTAGCTTGACCATTGTCTGCCATATGGCCAACATTACCCTGTGGAAAGCTGCACCTTTGCTTTAAGATCAGCTTTTCCATGGGGATTTGTAAGATGTCAGAGACCCTCCAGGTGAGATCCTGTTAAGCTTGTTTTTCAGGAGGTGAATTAGACCATACTAGAAAAGAATTCTCACATTGTTTTATACCTTTGGAAGCCCCTGTACTCCAGCTACCTCTCAGAATCTTTATTCTTGGCACCATTGAGCTTTTTTCTTTTCCTGGCAAACAGGTTAAAATAAAAACCAGTGAGAACAATATGTAATGAAAGGAGCCAACAAAATCTTGTAATTGGACAGCAGGGCCTTGACATACCTTTGTGTGGAAGCTCCAGTATACAGAAGATTGTAATTAGCCCAAAGGCAAAGGCTATGACTTTTAGGCAAGTGTGAGAAATACCACAGAGGAACATCCAAGACGCAAGTGTAATCAGATGGCCAGAAGACATGGGGATCTTAGGTGTGACTCTTGGGTTATGGCAGATGGAAGAGGCAGCTGGCTCTTTTCTTTGGGTTCTTACCTAACAGGGTAGAAATCTCTGACTTTAGGAACAAAACACACAGAGCAGATGATAACCATAATAGTAACTGCCATCGCTATTGATAACGATTACCATTATTATTATCATATATAATATTCTTTGAGCATATCCTACATGTGGTAATTTAGTGCTTCATATTTTTAGTGTGGAAAATCTAATTAAATTCTTGAAACTCCCCCATTGTCTTTGTCTGTTTTGTGCTTCTGTGACAAAATACCTGAGACTAGGTAATTTTCAAAGAACAGAAATTTATTTCTCACAGTTCTGAAAGCTGAAAAGTCTAAGATCAAGGTGCTGGCATCTGGTGAGGGCCTTCTTGCTGCATCCTCAAATTGTAGAAGGCAGAAAGGCAAGAGAAGGATAAACTTCCTCCATAAGCTTTTTATAAGTGTACCTAATCCCATTCACAGGGAAGTCCTCATGGCCTAATTGCCTCTTAAAGGCTTCAGCTCCTAATACTAGTGCACTGGCAACACCTGAATTTTGGAGGGAACACATTCAAACTGTAGTATTTATGAAGCAGGTAAACCTGTTATTCCCATTTGACAGAACATAAAATTGTGTCTTGGAGTATTAATTTACTCCCAGTCACACAGCTAGAAAGTGGCAAAAGACTATACCTTTAATTTTGATGGAATATTACTTCCCTGATCTATGTAAAGATACATTAATTTGTTCAAGTAGCAAATTGTATTGGATGTATACACAGAGCACTGAGGCTGGAAGGACAAAGCTTGGCACTTGTCTTCAGGGAGCTGATCAGTTTGTGGAGGAGATAAGAGAGTGGTGTAGAAGGGGATAATTACAATCGAGTGGGGTCATCCTTCAATGGGTGAAGCACAAACATTTTGAGAACACGAAGGATCCAATCCAGACAGGAGGTATGAAGAATTATGAGAGAATAAGAAACCCATATAGAGTCCTGGAGTATAAACACAAGTCAGGACAAGGAGAAGCATGGATGAGAAGTGAGAGGCCTTCTCAACAAAGGTAGCTGCTGGGCCGGAGCCCAGGCAACTCCAGGGGACAAAGCTCAGTGAGTGCTAAAGTACTGAGAGGGAAGCCTAGACAGAAATCCATACAAGCTGCAACCGTGCTTTCCTTGTCTCTATCTGGCCTGACTCCTCATGATTGATTACAAAGAGGAAATAAAATGTGGTCTTTGGAGAGGAGGATTTTACATCTTGCTCTGTCAACTTTCCAGCTGCTCACCTGGAGCCTGGCTCTCACTCTCCATGGAGCCCTTCCAACCTCGC